GTTAGATAATATTAAGACAATAACTCATCACAGCTATGTTACTCTCACTGTGAGAAATACACAGTTAGTGATGAACATTGCAAAGACTCTGAGAAGTGAGTATTTTAAAGATACTACAGCTCTGTGACCTTGATTTTTTTTATTTTTATTTTTTATTTTTTTCTTTTTCTTTTCTTTTTTTTTTTTCATTCATTCTGATTTTTTCTTGTTTTTGTTTTGTTTTTTGTTTTTTGTTTTTTTTTTTATATTTTATATTTTTTTTATAATTAAAATTATATGAATTATGATCTGTGTTCAGAAAAGTAATGATATTTGATAATACTCTCTATTGAATTTTCAACAAATAAGTACTATGTTATGATATTATATAAGTGAGAAGTGATTTCATAGTCTCATTTAATGCCATTCTCAATAATGAAATTAGAATGAAAATGTGACTAAGAATTTAAACATATTCTTTATCTGAGACTAGATTTTTATTTGAAAAGTGAATCTGAGATCTTTAATATTTGAAATAATGTGATTTGAGATCAATGTGATGAATATAAACCATGACCAGAAGTAATGCTTTTAGGCAATGTGACAACTGTAAAGTTTGGTCCTGGTCTCAGACACGGTCACACGGTCAGTCTATGAATATGCAATGTTTCTGAAAAGAATACAATCTTTGATTATACAATTACATGTGATCTGCAATTACTCTGCAGATCAAGACTCATTTCACTATACTTAAGAAATTCAAGTTGTCTGCTTATACTCTATGAACTATTATAGAGAATAACTTTTCTGAGAGATCTGCTGTCCGCAGAACTCATCTGTTTGAGAAACTGATTAGCATGACTGCTAAGTCAAAAGACTCAGATCACACTTTCATTGAACATCTGATTGTCATAAGAACTGATTATATTTATCTAGAATATGAGATTCTGAATGTCATGTTTTTCAACAGACTGCTTACAGAAGTCAACAGAGATTGAGCCTCATTCATAAGAAATTGAATGAATCAAATTGATAAAGATAATACTCAACTCTTAGAGAATAATTTTATAAGTCTGTGCTGTGATATTCTTTTACAGCTCTCTGCTGCAAATGAAGTAAATACTGATGTATCTAGAAATTCTATCAGCAACACGCAAGATAAGAATAAGAATGATAAGAACAAAGAAAAAGACAATGACAAGGACAAGAACACTGAATTCAAACCTGAACATAGAGATAATGACACGAGGACCTGCTATCATTGTCAAAAGCTTGGTCATATTCAGACTGACTGTTAAAAGAAATACTCTGAGAAATGTTCTTCAAACTTCAATACAAATAGAAATAAGGATAAAGACAAGAATGCAGAGAATACAGATGCTGCTTCTGTTTATAATATCATGAAACAAGTATTTTGCATCAAGAAAAAGATCTATACAAGTGATCAGACAGAAAAAGATATCTGAATTCTAGACTCTGAATCAGGTGCTCATATCACACTTCACAGAGATCTTGTCATGACAAAATCTCAAAAGATGAAAATGATGTTGAAAATGACAGATGAAATGATAGTTCTCACTACAGCTATAGAAGATATGAAGATTTCAGTGAAAGAGATAAATATGCTGTTAAATGATGTTCACTATATCTCAAAGTTAGAAGTGAATCTCATGAGTATGAGTAAGCTTGTATATCAGAGTTATACCTATAAGCAGTTGACATATAAGAATAATCATGCTATGTTAATTATATCCCCTGATTACATGTTCTCATTTACAGCAAGATTAAATGAGAATGATATCTATGAGATGAAAAGACTGATTATATACAGAGACTTGATCTGATTTGCTATACTCAATGATGATTTTGAATCTGTGAATATATTACAGGTGAAAGATGACACAATATTGACACTATCTGAAAGAAATGATACAAAGATTATAGAACTTACAATGATGCAATGACATTAAAAGCTAGAACATCTAAATCTCACAGATATTGTAAAAATGATAATAGATTCATGTCTAGAGATGAGAATTATTAATCAATAAGCTTTATCATTCTACAAAGTCTGTGTTCAGATAACAATAATATGTTCAATCTTTGTATCTATGACATGAGCTGTTAAGTCAGCAATGAGATTCTTCATCAATCTGACAGAGAATGGAAAAACACTTTTCAATGAGAATGACACTCTCACTAAAGAGAGTGTAAGCTACTGATTGAGTATAACAGATAATATAATTCATTATAGATGAATAATTCTTATAATAAGAAAGAAACAATCTACTACAAGATTAATGAACTTCATCACAGATATTGAGATAACTATATAATATTGAGTTAAAACTCTACACTGAGATGATGAAGAAGAGTTCAAAAGTCAAGAACTGAAGATCTACTGTCAGAGCAAAGAAATAACATATGAAATGACTATATCTGACACACTACAATCAAATGACTCAGTAAAATATGTGAATTGAATAGTTACAGAAAAGACACAAAGTCTACTATTTAATAGTGAATTAAAAAGAGAACTTTGAAATGAAGTAATACAAGCTGTAATTATAATAATTAACACATTCTCAACATTAATAAAGATATTTGAATGTAAGAAAGAAACATCACTTATATCTTTTAAAGCATGAACTGAGATGCAATCTTCTATTCATTGAATACAGAGATGAGAGTGCAAGATCTATAAAAAGCATTTAAAAGTGTTGAATAAGCTCATGAATAGAACTGACAGTAAGAAATGACAGCTGATTGAATATCAAGAATTACATTAATATCATATGTGAGATCCTGTTGTATATTGTCTTGAGATTGCACAAGATATCATATTTAATGAAGCTCTTGACATGAGTGCAAATACACCTGTAAATATAATGAGAGAATTCAATGAATTGTCTAATGAATTGAACATTCTGAATGTTAGAGAGAGATGACAGCACTGCTTACTATAACATCTAGTGAAGAAAAAGTCAGATATTTTAAAGATAATTATCAATGAAGACTTAGAGAGTGTAATTAATTTAATCTATCTTCTAGATAATGAGATATAGCTTATTATAAATGAAGAGTCTGAAGACTCTGTTAATGAGAATGATTCTATTCTAAGTGTTTTAACAGACTGATCAACTATACTGATGAAAGTCAAGAGAAGCTCAGACTGAAACTATTGACATGAGACAATGAAAAAGAAGATTAAGATATTTGAATAGAAGAAGATATATATTATTGTTGAGAAGATCTCAGAAATGAATATTCTTACAGATAAATAAGTATATGATTGAAAATTCAATAATAAGAGAGAAATCATTCACTTTAGAGCTTACTGAGTGATTAGAGAGTTCTTGCAACAGCAGAGTATTCATTATATGAGATTGTATACTGCAGTGATATCAGGGTTTACATCATACAGTCTATTCACTATATTAACTGTCAAAGAATGAAAGATTAAATCAATTGACTATATATCTGCATTTTTGAATAATATACTATCACAGAATAAGATAATCTATATACAACTGCTCACAGGTATTAAGTACAGCAGAGAAGACTTGATAAGACTACTCTGTCAGAGTCTATATGAAATGAAGCAAGCTGTGAGAATATGATATTTTCTAGCAACAGAACATCTCATCACATTGAGATTCAAGATATCATCTTATAATAATGAATTTCTATATCACTCTGTTCACAAGATCTATCTGATATTACATGTTAATGATTATCAGATGACAGAATCTCAAGAACAGCAATTAGACTGAGTATTGAGAGAGATCACAAAGAGATTTGAGACAAAGAATATTAAAGAGACTAAATCATATCTTGAAATGAAGATTAAATATCAGAGAAATAATGATCTAGCAGTTACACAGAGTCATTATATTGAGAAGATTCTTGAAGATTTTAATATGAATAAGATGAATCCTGCAGAGATCTCAATGATGACAGATATATAACTGAAGTTTTCATCTGATGAGAATGATGAATTGAATGACAACTTTACAGCTATAAGATATTGTCAAGAATTGAAATTATTGCAGTATTTGATCTCAAGCAGTCAGTCAGATCTGGCATTTGTGATCAACTATCTCTCACATTTTAACTCATATTCATACAAAGCATGTTAAGCAGTGTTAAAGCATGTTCTATGTTATGTCAAGAAGATAAAAAATCATGATATATTGTACAAGAAGAAGATAGAAGATGGCCTGAGTTCTGTGACATACTGTGATTTGAACTGAGTGAGGGCGGATTCTCAATACAAATCAACTATCAGCTATGTTATATTGATTAATGAGTCACTGATCTCATGGCAGTCACAGAGACAGACATCTATTGCTAAATCAATCACAGAAGCTGAGTATATTACAGCTAGTAAGACAGCTTATGAGATAATCTGATTGAATAATATGTTATATGACACTGAATTGATGAATGATGAAAAAGTGAAAATATGCTTGCATCTATGAGTTGACAATAAGAGAGCAATCAATCTAGTAAAGAGAGAATTCTTAATATGAAGATTATCTCATATTAAGATTAGATATCATATTCTTCATAATTTGATTGAAAAAGAGAAAATCATGATGAAACATGTTGATTCTACAGTGAATATAGCTGACAGACTCATCAAGTCACTGATGAAGCCTGCATTTGAAGATTTTGTTAAAAGAATTGATTTGAAAGAGATCAGAAAGAAATGATTGAATGATAATAATAATACAGTGAATCAGTGAATTTTGCATGTATTTCTTGATTTTTACAGTTATTACTGTATGAACACCTTTTCTAATAAGGAAATCAGGGTCTGATTAATGTAATTAATTATTATTGCATTTTTGAAAGATTTGAGAATGGGGGAGGCCCCGGGTGGCGGCTTATAGGCCACAGTGTAGCAAGGGGGGGTGTTGGTGATTACTACACCTACCCTAGTCACGTGCCACCCCAACCTATTCATTTAGTGTAACTCGCGTAGTTAGATTACAACATAACAACGTTATCCTCCAAGAATAAGCTCCGCCCCATCCGCCAATCCTAGCACCGAAACGCAAAGGCTGGATTCCTACCCGTATGGCCGCCTACCTCTGCCAGGAATTCCGCGGTGGATATATTGGGCCTAATAGCCATTAAATTACTAACGGATTTTATACAGAGGACTCTAGGCTGTGTTGCAAAATTCCCCCACCTTCTTTGAATTTCTTTTATATACAGCGCAGAGCTCCATATATGCTGCGCCGAGTGCTGAAAAGGAACCTCCATAGGCCCGGAGGGGATCAAAACGACTATAATAATACCCTGGAAGGACTATCCCGGCAACTTTATGTGATAGCTTTCTTCGTCAATATAACGATTTTTATTTAATTTTGTGCGCATCTTGGAGCTCAAGCATTCGTTCAGGCGCGCAAAATGCCCATCAGCAGCGATGCCTTTAACATCGATAATCTCTCGCAGGGCGAGACTGTGTATCAGGTGGATATCCGCCCACATATAGTCCAAGGGGACATTTGCGATTGGAGAGGAGCCATACAGCTAACTCATTTTACAATCTAGCGATGCATCGTCATCAAGGGCTCCTGTAGATCGGCTGTAGAAAGCGGCTTCCTCACCGTTGAGAATCAGGGTGCATCGGGGTCTCAGAACTTCCCAACCCAGCGCCATCCGGTTCTCCAACGCCGGTTTACATTCCTTGCCATGCTCTCTGAGGGGCCGAATAACCTCATCATTCAACTGGGAAGCCATTACAATAGGCCCGCACTGTCGCCTTCTCCTGATACCATCATTGTTTCCCTCAACTATTACCCACTGATGAACAGCCCACCCCTTCATCTCGCCATCATGGTCGCCAAGGACTCCCCCTTGTTGATCGACTGCCCGCCGGATAAACATGGCGGCCTTCCGGATGGACATTCACACCTAGACGCCGTGATCGCCAAATTCCGCATTACGGCCTACATGTGGCAGGCCCTCACGGCTGAAGATATGCGCCTTAAGGGCCTGGGTCGTCGCTCGTTCCGACTCGAAGAGGAGCGGACAGCTGATACCACTAGCCAGGCGTTCTTGGATAACCGGGGCCGGCAGTGGCTCCCTGTTAGTGAGGCCATACGTTCGACGGCGAAGATCCATCTAATTGGTACGCATAAGACGGTTACTGAATTGAGAGACCCGAACATTGCGCAGCAGAATCGTCATGCCAATGACAAAAATCGCTTGTTCAACATATTCCTGGATGCTCTTAAGGACTACGGGCCGCCCTTCGACGCCCCCAATCACCCCATTGTTGCGGGCCTGATTCTCGACTCACATTACTCGGTTGAACAGAATCTTATTGTGGCACACGCGGCGTTAGGGGCCCATAATGGTGATGGCATCTCACTGGGCATGTTTGGCAGCCATCTTACCTACTCCTGGCCACGGTTCGCAGAGGAAATTAATGAATATCTGCTCGATACCAGAGCGCCTGGACCAACACTTGGCAATGACTGTGGCGAATGCGACTCTATGTGGGAGGCTTGCTCGATTGGCCAGGGAGCCTTCCTCCATGAAGTGGGCCATGCCTTTGGCGCGCCACATACCACCGGCATTATGGCGCGCGGGTATGCTGAGCACTGGCCCAGGAACTTCCTCCCCAGAACTGCCTACAGCGTGGCTAACAACAGGCAGGGTGTTGTCGTTGTAGAGGGACAGACCCGGAATAATGCTCGATGGGATCTAAGAGATGCACTCTCGTTCAAGTTATTTCCCCACTTTTGGATTCCAGGCGATGGGATTTTCGAGCCGGGTGTCCGGGCCGAAACACCCAGTGCTGTTGTAATAGAACAAGGGGAGGGAGGCCCGGCGAAGTTGGGCATCCAGCTATCCTGTCGAGCCAAGGTCGTGCAAATTTCATTCAACGACAATCCCGAACCATCCCCCACAGTCGCTTCCCCGTCCAATAAAGTCATATATATGATGAAAGACCTCGAATCTCGCTTCCCTCGCAATAGCAATAAGCCCCTCAAGCTTACCGTGCTCGGGATGAATGGCAAAACCCGCACGATCCATGACGTCTGGCGTCTGTTTGGCTTCAGAGATATCATTAGAATCCCGGGCTCCAAGGTCGTGTTGACGAAACAATCTATTCTATGCCCTCAGATGGAAGCCGATCAATCTAAAGAGCCCGATGACTCGTCTGTTTGGGCATGGGCTACCTTGCTAGCTAAACCACGAGATGGCTTGAGACCGGGCTTTGGGTCTACGAAACGCGTCAAATCTATTGATGTGCGTACGGGGGCGTTTTTGGACGGCTTGTATGTAGATTTCGATGATGGGGAGCGGGTCAACTGCGGGCCGCGATTGAAGCGGAATGGAGGCAAGCACACATTTGGCGGGCACGCTGCTAGGCAAATTGACATTATTCCTAGTGGTAGTGGTAATCGCGTGGGTAGCTATGCTGATCGCGAGATTGTGATGATTGAAGTTGCGAGGGCGAACAACGTTATCACAGGCATGAGGATCCATTTGAGAGATGGGACAGAAGGAGGTGAGCTGAGTGCGTATGGCTGTGTGGATGAGACTTGCACGCTTGGTGAGTGCTTATTTTCACTTTTCTTTCCTTGTTCATTTCCCCCCCGTTTCATTGTCTTCGCCTCTTGAGAAGAATTATGATTTACACCTAGTTTTATAACTTTCTCCTCCCACGCTCGCCCGCTAATGGTGAGAGCTTTGCACCGTTTCAAACAGAACCACCACCCGGCCAACGAATTGTTGGCTTCTACGGACGCAACTGGTGGGGTCAAATGTGCGATGCGATGTTTGAATTTGGCGTCATCAGTGCTCCACGCGATGTCGAGTTGCCAGAGACCGTATATGGGATGAAAGAGCTTATGAATACGGATGGGCGGCGCAATGATGTGAGCTAACTCCCTCTATTTCCTTTCCTCTTGGAAAGAGGTTAAATCAGATATTGGCGGGTTTGGCCGCCAAAACTACAATAATAGTCCACACAAGGAAGAGGAGGGTGGGGCGTAACTGAATGATATTTAGTGATTTAACCAGAATGCCAAATGCCTAGATGTTGCCATTCCGTCATGAATATAATATCTAACAGTTTGCTAGCTGCCTGCAGCTCTAGGTAAACGAGAGCAAGTAAAGCAGAGGAATCGAGAGTGGTTGGTGTATAAGGCCTATCATTTCTTGCGACGGGTATTGGGGAAACAACGTTAATGTCAAATCAAATTAAATCAGCCAGCTCTTCATCAATTACGGCATTAACAAGACAGCCTCCTCCTCTTCCCAACCTATACGGTTTAAACTAACCATGCCACCTACCTTCATTTTCCCTTCTCAAAGTATTCTTATCACCGAACCCACTAAGCCAACTCGAAGCAATTCCTCGCTCTGTTTACCCCCTCGAATCATTCTCCAACGTCAACTTCAATCATCCAACCCCGTCCCTTCTCCCCCATCCACTTCCATATTGTCAGCCCCCACCGCTACATCCCAACTCGCACACTCGTCCCGCACCCTGGTCTCCGAATTCTCCACACATATCTTAACCCGCTTTTCGACCTCCTCCTTCCACTTCCGATCGTACGCAATCGCTGCCCTCCTCATCTCTTCATAATACTGAAATAGCCGCTGGCCCGGTCCCCCACCCGCTCCCGCTCCCTGCCTTAACCCAGACACAAGCGGCCAATCATTTGTCGTAGAGATTTTGCTATGATCAACGAACTTATCAAGCGCCAGACGAGACTTGAGGGTGATGCCGATCATAGCTTCCATGGTGTAACGTGCGTCGTTGCCGCCGTTGTGCAGGTTCCAGCCCGTAATGCCAAGATCGACGAGGATTTTGCCTAGGGATGTCGGCTCTGTTTGGCGCATTAGGACACGGAAGAGGATGGAGGTGTCGAGGGTATCGATGAAGTTTGGAAGTTCGGTATTCTTGTCTGGAGGGCGGGGGGTGTCGGCGGTGGTGGTGCTCGGTTTGATGAAGGACTTGCATCCCAGCTTCCGGAGGTACGCAATATCGGTTTCGGCGTTGTGGCCTACGAATATCAGGTTGCGTGGACGAGTGTTGTTTCCCGGGATTGAGTCGATATCGCAGAAAGGTTCGGTGTCCGAAAACGAGGGCTGACGAATACCCTCCTGGGTATCTTTCTCGCCTCCATTGGTATTGCCGCTGTTCGCGTCTATCAGATCCTGGGGGAACCAAGGTACATGGGCAGAGTAAGGAGGTTGAAAGCACATATCGACAATGTCTGCAGCCTTCGATATCGAGATCCATTCACTTTCGCCGAATTCGAAACTGTCGGGACACCCGCTAACATACTCTTTGTTGACAACATTAGCGTATTCCGAAATTCGGAAATGACGAGAGTGTATCTTCGCAGTCCAGTTACTCCCACCTTCTCCAGGGGGAATACCAGCAAGATCAAGGGTGTCAAGAGTTGATACTCCGATTTCTGTGATTTGATGGTGAATTTTTTCATTTGCCTCGACATCAACGCAAACAAAGATTGGCTCACTCGCAAAGCGGAATGGAGCTACTTGATTGACATCCATCGGGAGAAGGATAATCCCGCATGCTAACCCGTACTCCCGTTCAGCCTGCTTCTGTTCTTCCCAGGTCAAACCATCAGTAATAGGGGGTTCCAGATCGCGAGGACGTCGAGGACACATTCCAAGGTAGCACTTGGCCCTCTTCATCGTACGGCACCAGCCCTGTAATTTCTGGATGCGGTCGCCTTCCCTTTTCTTCCTAGCTACCTTGTTCTTTTGTCGATTAGCGTCGACGGCAGCCGCCATCTTTCCCTTGAAAGCAGCAAATGAACGGTCAACTTCTGCGGAGCAGCCCTGGGGGGGTTCATGATGGTCTATTGGTGCGTCGGGTATGTTTGACTCCATTTCTTCTTTCTCCTCCTTAGAGGACGCCGTTCCGAGATAATGTGGCTGAGGGGTACCGTCGTTCTCGAAAGGGATTAAGAGCCCGGGTTCTTGGTCTAAAGGAAGGGAAACATGAGTGTTAAATGCGTTGTTGATGTCATCCATAAGGTCTTGAGCTTGTTGACTGGGAACGAGAATGAGCGGTCTGGTTGAGATGGAAAGCGGCGGGTTAATATAGTATCTGATGGAATGCTCAAGTTAGTGAATCTGGGTATTGCAGAAGGGGCGATCCAGAGTCATAGTGACTACTCGAAAGGGACGATTTCCCCAGCCCGTAGTTATAGCCCATTATGTCTGCACGTTTTGCATTATGGTCTAATATCTGAACGGGGAAGTGATTCTTTCATGGAATAAACGTACATATCCCACGGCCTCTTCCAGAACTTTCCTTCGTTGAAGAAGCGTTGTGCAATTCGCTCGCCATCACTGCCTCGAACGTATTTGTACGGGAAACGACTGATAGCAGATATTGGGCAGAATAATCTTCCGCCATTGCTGTAGAAGGCTGCCCTAAGGGTATCATAGGAAGCCGTCGATATCGACAAACCCACATGCGTACTCCCTCTGTAATGGTTATCGTTCTTATTCCAAATCTTCTTTTTCCTTTTGTTTTCCCGTGTAGCATCGGAAAAAGTAGCTAGATACTCATCAAACCCATCTTCTGAGCTGCTGGGCTCATCTACCGCCGGCTCCTTGGACGAACCTGCTTGGCTACTCTGCTGACGGCTGATTTCTGTGGTTTGTGGTGGATTGTTGGCGGTGTTCTGTTCTTTCATTGAAAGATTCGCTATTTCCAGTGCGGATTGAAGGCCTGTATTGGTCTTGAGAAGATCTTCATCTTCTCCATCAAAGAGTAACTTGAGACGCGCTTGCATGTCCATCGTGGGCAGCAGAGCAGATTCATGAAACACACAAAGTTACAAATAGCAGCTGTGGTGGAAAATCGTTGATGCAAGAAGAGAAAATGACACGAAAGAAAGGAGAAGCAGAAGGAAAGAGAACTAGAAAAGTGCAGTCAGTGGACTGCACTGTGTTATAGACTGTGAGTTAGATCTGCCATGAAGTGAGAGATGCTCTGAAGACATGTCTGAGATCAGTGACAAAGCAACACTAAGATATCATCAATCTAACAACAGCAATAGCAACATGAAATGGATACAAAGTATCAGAACACACAGCTATTCCCCAAAAAACACAAACTAAAATAAAATAAAATTGGCCACCATGAAGAAGCCCTTGGAAATGGCTGTTTGGCTGGTTTCTTGTGTACGGAGTCTTCATTATTAACACGTTGAAGAGTCTCCTTGACTCATTATGAAGAGCCAGTCAATACCAGCATCAGTTCTGTTGAAACTATAAGTAACTACAACAAATCTCTTCATCTCATGAATATTTTTTTGCAATATAAATACAGAGATATCTGGCATTGCGTACCATACCGGAAAAATGTAGGCTTATTATATGATCAGGTTATAGTTGTTCCATCATGCCAGTCAGTGACACCATTGTCAAATCATAAATCTAATATAATGATGAACAAGCATCAAACACTCGCTTACGCTCGCTCGCCGCCCCCCTACCACTTTCACCCTCTACCCCTACCCCCCCTTACCACCCCTTCCACCCCTTCCACCCCCTACCCCTCTACCACCACCGTCTCTACCGCCCGATAGATCCTCTTACGTCTTACGCCCTCTACACCCACTCTACTGACAACGAAGAGAAATAGACTAGGCTGTAGCAGACTATGACAAGGTCCCTCTTAAGAACAGTACATACACTTTCTCACATTAATATTATCGATGGCATCTTCAAGATCGCTCCAGAGAGATTCATGACAGAGCCTGAGTGTGAGAACGCGTATG